ACACAAACCGGCACGTCGAAAATTTATCTGGCCACGTTCTGTCTTTGTGGCGTGGATTATATTTCGGGCTAAATAGATCACGTGACCATACAAACTTTCCCGCCTTCTTCTCTTGGTGATTTTTTTTTAATCCTAAACGGGTAACCTGATCCTTGAAAGATGGCGCATGGTAGAGGTTAAAGGTTGTAGCCTTCTTGTAGAAGAGATGGAGGGAATCAAAAGTGAGAGTATGGGGAGAAGGGGTGGTAGGGGGATTTTCAGCAATGGAGGGAGAGGTTTGGGGGTGATAGGCGGTTGAGATGGAAGGTGTAATGTAGGTCGCACATAACAAAGCTTTCCAGTGTTGTCTGGGGACATAGGGGAAACTGGATGGTAAGTTCAAAGGTCGGTGACTCTTTTCCCCCACCCCCCATCTCCCTCAATAGAAGGGGAAAAAACTACTGGTTTTAGAATTCGAATTTCAAAAACTATAATAGATAGGAAAGAAAGTGTTCTTGAAATGCGATGCTAGTTTTTGTATTTTAATCGTGAATTTATATTGTTCTTTACTTTAGCTATAAATTATTAATTGGATATTAAAATGTGGGAGGGAATCAAGCAAAATGTATTTTTAAAAAAAGGGCTTAATGTCTAGAATCAATTTTGTTTAAATATTCTTAGAAAACAGAATATTTTGTTTGAGCAGATACAGTATAGTGTATCTGCTTCTGTAGGTACTGCTTTCTCTGGTGGGGAAAGTGTTCTTTTGCTGGTCAACTAACTCTACTGCGACACTAGGGTGAGGGGGGAGGGTGTCCATAAGTGACGTCACGCTTTCTGGACGTCACACATTGTCGCAAAACAAAAAGTTTCAGTTTTAAAATATCACATTTTGGAAACTGTTAAAGTGTGACTTCATGCACTCTAAATTTTCCCCTCCCCTTTTTTTGTCAGCAAAGACCGAACCCTTTCGCCCCCCCCCCTCCCCCCATGACCCATTTTTTAAATGATAACAAACTTTCTTTTTTAAAAGTTTCTAATTTAGTCTTTGCAAACACAATCCTTCTAAAACTTTATAACCGTTGAAAAAGAAATCTGAGAACGCTAATTCATGAAAGACATCGGTTCATCCCTAGCAGAATTTGACCCCAGCCTCCCATTTAATATTCGAACACAGTAGTTGCTTTTTTGTTCAACTCCCATTAACCATATACACGTCATCTTGCCAGTTCCTTGAGGCGGTAGTCTGATGTCTAGATGATGGTCTGCCGTCTGTGTGAATTCTCAGGTTACGTTTTAGGTCTAAAAACAGACGTGGATCTTGTTCCGTCCGTAGACTTTCTCTCCTCTCTATTAAATGTGTTGGGTTACTTCTTAAAAGAAAACGCCGGTGGAATAATATAGTGTCGTAGTTCAGTTGTTTTTTCTGCAAGATTAGAGAGCTGGACTGCTAAACCGTAAGTCTCGAGTTCGAAACCGGGTTCAAGGTAGTAGACCGTTCCTGACCACACTATCTCTTTATATGCCGAGGTCACAGAAAAAGTGAAATCTACTTCATTTTCCACATAAACCGTCAGGTTTGAAAGGGAACTTTACTACGGTTAGCTAGGAACAAAGCTTAGGAAAGTTCAGGAAGTGAGAAGCTTAAGGTTAGGATTAGAAGTATCGTAGTTCAGTTTTTTTTTCCTGCCAGTATTGCTGCTACGGAGAACGGCGTGGCCTAGCCGTACAGCGCTAGACTGCTAACCCGAAAGTCTCGAGTTCGAATCCTGGTTCAATTCCCTGAGTCCACCCAGCTCTGATGGGTACCCAATTCACGTCAAAATAAAGGGCATAGTGCTGACAACATTATCATATGCCGAGGTCAGTGAAACAGATAAAATCTACTTCATCTGCCTCATGTGTCTTGGGCACAAACGGGAAAAAATGATGATGGTGTCGCTAACAGGTCTATGGTAAGGACTAGTACTAGAGCAGTGGTTCTTAACCTTTTTCGCGGTACTGAACGCTTCATCGCATTCATCGAACCCTACTTAATAGTTTTATCGTCCACGCTGACGAAATCCGATCGTGAATCATATCAGTCGGGTGGGTGTCTTGACCTACGCCGAACCCCTGGGGTCAGATCAAACCCAGGTTAAGAACCCTTGTACTAGAGCCACCGTTGAGGTAATACTAACAAATAATACGCCTTGAATACGTTTTTCATATGTATTAATGTATACCTACATCGATTGCTACTAAGTGTCAATATGCCACTATAATTATGGATATTTTATTTTTATTCATGTGAACGAACTTATTTTCAATAAATTACTAAATTAACCATCAATTGTAATAATATACGACATAAATAGACTATGACCTTTTGAAACTGTTGTTCTCAAATATCATTTACTTTTTTTTTCTTCGACTTGCGACTTGGCAACGCTACTCATAGAATTGGAAAACGTTCATTTTAATTTGAAAAATGGAAAGAAAATGCCTTCTAAAAAAGGATGGGTTTTATTTTTAGACTTTCACATGGCGAGGTAAAGTTTAACCCCCAAGTGGCTTTCTGCTTAAAATATTTACCGTGGCCTTTTAAGGGTTAAGCAATGCAATCAATAGAGTTTCTATATTGGGATTTGAACTGTTAATTTTTTTCTTTTAAGAGAAGTGTTAACAACTCCGAGGTGTGTTATTGTTGTTGTTGTTTTGTTATTGTTGTTATGAATAAACAGTTACCATTTCAATTTCGGCAGAACAGAAATGAATCGTTTTTTTTTTCTTTTTTTATTCTTTTTTTTTCTGTTTATTTTAACAGCCGATATTGACTTAAGAGTTACGATTATGATAATCTAGCTATATTTTTAACAGGTCGAGGGTTATCGGTAGCTGTGGGGTGGGTAGAGGAATTGTGTGGGGGTGAGGGGTAGCTGCGGCATTTTTATATGCGTTTTTCTAACTTATTTCATGATATATCGTTCACATGTCACTAGAATCATAACTGTTTTTTATGAATATAAAAAAGTCACTATTTTATTCTTATCCTAATTAAGTTTTTTTAGCAAACTGTAAAAGACCAGTGTCCAGTTTTTTTTCCTTCACAAGCCTAATAAGCACCATATCCAGCGCCGCTGTAATACTATCCAGATTTATGTGTACCGTTCGATGTGTTAATATGGTTTTTCCGTCCCCCCGAAACACAATTTACGATCCCGTCCCTTTAGTCCATTTTGGGATATCAAACCCAGGAAGGTTGACCGAGTTATCCGGAGATCACTTCCGGTTCACGAACTCTGATATTTATCTCTTCAATTTGTAAAAACGTTGGTCCGTTGGGCGAACAGACAGCGAACGAAATTCGCGAACTACTCACTTCGCCAGAGGAACGATTTGAATCTACACCGGAAATGAAAAAAAATAATCCAAACTTGTGTGTGAGGGGGAGGGGGGGGGGGGGCATTCATATATCTTTTGGTGAATTGGTAATATTGGTTTTATAAAAAGAAAACGACCACAGGAAATGTCTTTGAGATCAATACGCCCTTGTATAAATTCGTTATGCGAAAAGTCGCGGAGACTTTTTTAAAATGATGGACGTGTTAAAATGTAGTGATGGTTTCAAAATTTAATTTTCGTTTTTCTTTTTTTTTTAATCAAAATTTTGTCTTGTCTAGTTTAGAGAGGTATAATTTTACTCGCGGTTATATAAAATAGATTCTATTGCAATCACTACTAAAGATACAGCGCGGTAGAACATGTACTTAACCTAAAAGTCATGAGTTCAAAACCTGGCTTCGATATCCCAGAACATCACCTGACAAAACCGCCCTTCGTGTCCGAATTGGGAGGGGGGGGGGAGAAAGCAAAAGCCTGGTAGAAACCCACGGGTCTAGCGGCTAGTAATAAGGGTGAGTAAAAGCCTGTTTCATTTTGCTTGACTAATTAGCATTGATTGAGCCGGTAATGACAGTTTACAAGAGAGATTTAGTTACCTGATCCTGTTTATTCTCTGGCTTTGTCTAGTAGGTTTTTTTAGGTTGTTTTTTTTTTTTCGTGATTTAGGTTTTTTTACTTGGTTCTTGCGTGGAAGGCGTGGTCGAATGTTAGAGCTTACAACTGCTAACCTGATAAGTCTCGAGTTCGAATATCGGCTCAACTCAGTACAACATCCTTGAGTCCACTTAGCTCTAATGGGTATCTAATTCACGTTAGGGAAATTCAAGGCGGATGGGCATACTATCCTTTTATATACCAAGGTCATAGACACAGGTGAACTCTACTTCACTTACCCCATTGACCATCAAGTACGAAACTTTACTAGTTTATTTGGTTCTTGACATATAAAACTCGCTGTATACTTGTCATTTAGGGTTAGTATGCCAGATTTTTCAGCGAGGGTTTATTCATGGTTCGTCACGTCGGGTTCGCTGAACTTTAGTCATTCCGTGCTGTTGTCTATATGGGATCAAATTTTGTAGTTTTGATATCCTGTGTTGTGTGTCGTCATGCTGGGTTTCATTTTGAAATTACGTCATATTAAATTCGGGTCACCTCTGGTAGCCGTCCAATCTACGTAACTCGCACATCACATGAATGGTAGGAAGGGGGTGATGGGAATGGGGCGAGAGTTTGGGAATATTTCTTTTCTTGAAATATCATTTTTTTAAATGTATGAATTCCAATGCGACTAACAGAATTCCTGCATATTAAACACTACGGTGATAAAGAGAGTTGATATGTATTGTGCACGTTCATTTTAAATACCATTATATAAACTTCCCTCCCACCCCACTTAAACCCCATATAAAAGCTGCTCATCAGGAGGACCCCCCCCCCCCATAGATTTAGCACATGAACAAAGACCAGTGTATAGTGCCGTATGTGTGTATGTCTGTGTGTGTCTGTGTGCGTGTGTGTCTGGGTGTGTTTGTGTGCGTGTGTGGATGTGTGTGTGTGTATGTGTGTGTGGATGTGTGTGTCTGTGTCCCCGCCCCGTGGCAACTCATTAAGCGAGCCTAATGTATCAATCGTGTTTACCCACCGATATGATTTCCCGACAGTCCAGCTTTGATCAGTTCCTGGCGTCGGTGATCGAGGCTGGTGCGAGGGGTCGGGGTTGGTGCAAGGGTTGTGGTGGTTACTAGGTTCAGACTAGTTCCAGGGTTCAGGCTGGTTCCAGGGTTCAGGCTAGTTCCAGGGTTCAGGCTAGTTCCAGGGTTCAAGCTAGTTCCAGGGTTCAGGTTAGTTCCAGGGTTCAGGCTAGTTCCAGGGTTCAGGCTAGTTCCAGGGTTCAGGCTAGTTCCAGGGTTCAGGCTAGTTCCAGGGTTCAGGCTAGTTCCAGGGTTCAGGCTAGTTCCAGGGTTCAGGCTGGTTCCAGTGGTCGGCCTGATATCAGGGGTCTGGATTGTGCTACGGATTGGGTAGTGACAGAATGAATCACGTAACAAAAGCTTCTTGTATCTTAGTATCATTTCCAGTATGTATCATGGTCTTCTAGTATCATTGCCGTGCGTTGCCCTATCCCTTCAACTTGGGTTAGAAATAGCTCATTCGCTGTTAACATAGAATGACGTTGACGTTTTAAAAAGATTATCTGTAATTGTCTCATAACCCTACACACCTGCTAAGAAAAGAAACAAGCCCCCCCCCCCCTCACCCAGCCCCTAAGTGGATAATACTACCACACCCCTTCCCACATCTCCTCTTCAACTCGTCTGCTCTCTCTCTCTCTCTCTCTCTCTCTCTCTCTCTCTCTCTCTCTCTCTCTCCCTTTCTCTAATAATAAGAATAATAAACTACCTAAACCGACCTGCCTTGTTATAACATAATACCAAATCAACAGACTCCCGGTCTATCCAACCCCTCCCTCCCCCTATCCTAATTGCCAAACCAACCGCCCCCCCAGCTTCTCATCACATCCCCCCCAACCCCCCCCCCCCCCCCCCAATTTTTGCACTACACTATGCAATCACTTCGCCCTCAGGGCTTCTAATGTGTGTGCACATACCCGCAATAAGTGAGTGCACAGACAACAAACCGTGCAGTACTCACGTCGTGAATCCATTACCCCTCATAACCTTCCCCTCCCACCCAGCACTCTACCCCCACCCTCCTCAATCCCGGACAAACAATAGTTTTGGCACCATGAATTAAAAGCTGAAATATCCCCTTTTTAAACAGTGCCACTACCCCCCGAGGGAACACACTGATCCATTTCCTCTAATAACTGTTAATTTACACGTTTCACCGGCCAAAACATGACATTAGAGACAGAGGCTGCGCCGATCAATCAACACAGCGCTTGCTGTACAACATGGAAACCCAGAACTCGCCCTCAACTCTCGTGGCTTGTGTTGAAGTATTAGCAGTTTCATGAATCTCTACGAGTTCTGCTTAACAAAAAAGTCTAGATCTATCTCAAAATATACAGAATATATATGTGCCCGAAATTTCGATCTAGACAGACTGACGATTGACAGAGGAAGCAAATGAAATACAAGATTGTAATAAAAAATCTCTACGCGTTCTAGAAAAAAAAATCTAGCCAAATGTATACAATTAACAAATTTCGAATACCTCAAGTTCTATGTAACCCCAACTTATCCCAAGAACAAATCTAACTTATTCCAAGAGCAATCCTATCCCAACAAATCTACTCCAAATAATCCTAGAACAGTGGTCGTTAACCTAATTAGGTGGTATTGAACCCCCACCAGTCTCATATGCTCATTCACTGAACCCTTCTTAATAGTTCTATCGTCCGCACTGACAAAATCCTATCGTGAATAATATGTCTGGTGTGTGTCTTGACCTCCGCCTAACCCCTGAGACTGACACACCGAGCCCCTGGGGTTCAATCGAACACAGATTAAGAACCACTGTCCCTTGAAAAAATCTGTCTCAACATTTACCTACAACAAAAACCCAACTTTTTATCCGGAGCATATCCCCAGAACAAATCCATAACCCGACATATCCCCAGAACAAATCTATAACCCGACATATCCCCAGAACAAATCTATAACCCGACATATCCCCAGAACAAATCTATAACCCGACATATCCCCAGAACAAATATATAACCCGACATATCCCCAGAACAAATCTATAACCTGACATATCCCCAGAACAAATCTATAACCCGACATATCCCCAGAACAAATCTATGAACGTTACATATCCCCAGAACAAATCTATAACCTGACATATCCCCAGAACAAATCTATAACCCGACATATCCCCAGAACAAATGAACAAATCTATAACCCGACTTATCCCTAGAACAAATCTATAACCCGACATATCCCCAGAACAAATCCATGACCCGACATATCCCCAGAACAAATCTATAACCCGACATATCCCCAGAACAAATCTATAACCCGACATATCTCCAGAACAAATCTATAACCCGACATATCCCCAGAACAAATCTATAACCCGACATATCCCCAGAACAAATCTATAACCTGACATATCCCCAGAACAAATCTATGACCCGACATATCCCCAGAACAAATCTATGACCTGACAAATCCACAGTATAAATCTACACTAGCATTTGTTGAGAACATTTCCCATTAAAAAAACCCACCTCCCACCCCCACCCCGATCGTTATTCTGTAGACTGACGCTAACTATCCTCATCCTTCAACGTTAGTATTTTGTTAACACTACCATTGTGGTACTGCACTACAGACCACTCACCATCCACTTCAATCTACGACAACCAACCACCACCTTTTTCACCCAACAACACCACACACATACACAAAACACCACCACCATAGCTATCGACAGACAGGGGGCATAACTCTCGGAGACGACAGCTCTAGTATCATTTCCCTTAGACATCAACACGACAGCCAATCATAAGTCATAACTTGTGGGCCGGCGACTGGCGAGTTTCCGGTAGAGCTCTTCATGGGTGGGGTAAGAAAATGGATCTGGGTTTGGGGAAAGGGAGAGGTATGTGCTTGGGGGGGGGGGGGGGGTAAACATACTACTTGCTGTGATCTCATTTATTTTCTTTATTTCAATACAACCAATGTTTGAAAAATATATTTGTGGTATTTTTTTTTTAATATTCCCTTGCTGAAGTAGAGAGACGTTGTGATTGTGAAACTCAGTTGAAGGATTACCGAATAAATGTACAGCCTGTACTGTCCATTATAATAGCTTCGTCTTTTGTGGTAAGGGCAGGGGTTAGTGTTTGTGTTTAATGTTAAGTGCTGGGGTCGGGAATGGGTCATTAGGTCGTCTCTGAGTCCACCCAGCTCTGTTGGGTACCTGGTTCACATTAGGGAAAGTAAACGTGGCCCGGGCATTGAACAGATCACAACGTCCTTTAGATGATGTCACTAAACCAGGTGAACTCTACTTCACCTGCCACACTGACCACTAAGTCCGAATATCGAGATTTATTTTTTTAGAAACAGTGGTTAATATTGTTTTGTTGCTGTTGCAATTATTTATTTCTTTTTTGTCGTTACTGTTGTTGTTGTTAGCTTGTTGTTTTAATGTTGCACACAGGTATAGGACTGCAACCTTAGCAACATTTAGACTACCGTACCTTAAATGTTAAAATATGAAACCAACTCGAACCGACCTTCTTCTTCATCTTCGTTCCCCGTAGACACAGCTTACCTTAATCTGGCTGTAACAATTAATTCTTATGCATTAGTAGGAGCCCAGATACCTTGAGAAGACACCGTTATGGTGGTAAAACTAAATCAAATTCTGTTTAAATTAAAATTATCTTACACAACTAATTAGATGAAAGTATAAAAAAAAAGTTTGAAATACCCTTAAAAACAGAAGCAACAATTTCAGGGGAAAAAATGAGAACACAAAACAAAATGGTGAAATTAAATACACCATTAAACTTATCTTTAGTTTAGATTTGTCGTACATTTTCAAATATTAAATAGAAAAAAGATCAGGGTTCAGGCTATATTGTTGTTTTTTTAATTATGAAGAATAAACATCGGAATATATATATTCAACGTATTATGGGTAACGGTGTTACAAATAAAATATAAAGATATATAAAAACAAAAAAATTACAACACTAGAATGTATTTTAAGTGCACGTTTATATAAGGAAAAAATGCGAAAACATTTCGCTACACAGTGTTTATATAATCTTCAAAAACAAAAATTCGAAAAAAAAAAAAAGTTTGAATTAAAAAACCACCATCTTTGAATGACGAGAAGCGCTGTTTGATTTTTAAACTTCAGAAGTGAAGAGTGAGATTTAAATCTTAATCGATGACGACTTCGATTGGGCGCTGACCAGTGGAATCAATGGAGGGACCGGAGACTTTGGGGATTTTCTTGGTTACTCTGGCGTTTAGTGCCCACCGCGTCGATAGGAGCTGATTAGCTTTTTAAATTAGGGCTGGCCTCTTCGGGGAGTTTGTGTGTCTTTTGTTTGTTTGAGAACATGTGGATTCGGGTGTCTGTTCGTCCTGCTAGTTCTACAGAGAGAAATGTAAAGGTTGTCGTTGAAAATAGAACTTAGGGGCCATGTTACTGTTTGTGGTCGGACAATTGTGTCCTATTGAAAATGAAGGTGTCCTGTGTCACTATGTCCTACTGGAAGTAGGGGTCCTGCTATTTGTTGTGATAGGACCACTGTGTCCTACTACAGGATGTGATGAGACCATTATGTCCTACTTAAAATAAGGGCCCTACTCGAGGTGCTAATGGACCACTGTGTCCTACTGAAAATAGGGGTCCTACTACAGGTAGTGATGGGCCCATTATGTCCTATTTACTTCTGGTTGTGATGAGACCACTGTGTCCTACTACTGTTCTATTACTGGTTGTGAAAGTATCACTGTATTCTACTGAAAAAAAGGGGGACATACTATTGGTTGAAATGGGACAACTGTGTACGACTGAAAATAGAGGTCCTACTATAAGTTATAATAGGGGTCCTACTACAGGTTGTTATGGGATCACTGTGTCTTACTGAAACTAGGGGTCCTACTATAGGTTGTGACGGGACCACTGTGTCCTACTAAAAATATGGGCCCTACTACAGGTTGTAATGAGATCACTGTGTCCTACTGAAATATGGGTCCTACTATAAGTTATAATGTGACCACAGTGTCCTACCTTAAATAGGGGTCCTACTACAGGTTGTGATAGGACCATTGTGTCCTACTAAATAAGTTCTCTACTGCCCCCACACCCGGATGTGATTTAAGCCCCAAAAAACCCAAATCTTTAGCCTGGTTATTCGATACATAAAAAATAAAACTCGGTCATGCGACATTCAATCACATTGTTATACAGTTGTTTGTTTTGCGTTTTTTTAATATAACGAGAATCATTTCTTTCTTTTCATAAACCAATATTTTTTTTTTAGAAAAATAGCACTAAAATGTGACTTATAAATGGTTATAAGTTTGAAAAGGTTAGTCTAAATACCGCTTAATGAACAGTAGACGAAGTTCAGATGAAC